TGACTACAAGCTGCCTTCCATTTTAAAGAGAGGTTCTTTCAAAACTATGCATCAACTTTTAAGGCCCTCTAAAGCCATTTCTGGAATGTGTGTTCTGGCATTAAAATTTTGTAAGGACTCGCTTTTTACTTTGGTTAAAACATTTAATTGGTGCCATTAAAATAATTTTTGTTGGGGCTGGAGAGGTGGCTCAGTGGTTAAGAGCACTGTCTGCTCTTCCAAAGGACCCGGGTTCAATTCCCAGCACCCACATGGCAGCTCACAACTGTTTTAACGCCAGTGCTAAGGGATTTGAAAGCCTCACATCAATGCACATAAAATAAAAAATAAATTAAAAAAATAATTTTTGTTAAAACATTAAAAAAAAATCCAAGGTGGATGGAGGTTGGGGAATGACACTCAGGTTGATCTCTGGCACTTAAGTGCACACACACACACACACACACACACACACACACACACACACAAATGCTAGTACCCATGACACACACACAAATTCTAGCACACATCACACATACACACGAATGCTAGTAGATGTCATACACACACACACACACACACACACACACACACACACACACACACAGAGTGGAATAAGCTCTTTAAGCACATTTGTCTGGGAAAACTAGTCACTTACACACAGGAAAACAAGGCCAGATACCTACCTCACACCACCTATAGAAACGAAATAAAAGTGGATCAAAGGCTTAAAATGTTAAGTATTGAAACTCTGAGGCTCTAGAAGAAAGCTACACAGAGAAACCCTGTCTTAAAAAAAACCTAAATAAATAAATAAATGCCCTATCTGATATGTTGGATACCAGGCCTTGTGCACAGTAGGCAAGCCAACTACCAACAAGTGTGCCAAGGACCTAAGTAGATGTTTCTCCAAAGATATCCCAGTGGTTGGCTGGTAGGTAACGTGAGGAGGCTCTCAGCATCATTAGTCGCTAGGGAGACACAAATCAGAGCCTCGGAGCGGTATCATGGCACACACTGGGATGGTTTCAGAAGTGTGGGCGAGGCTGTGGGCAGCTTAGGGCCATGCACACTGCTGGTGGGAAAGTAATTTCAGAGAACAGTTGGCAGTTCTTTAAAAAGTTAAACACGGGGACCGGTTCGTTAAGAATGCTTCTTGCACTGGGCACAGAGGCACACGCCTGTGATCCCAGAACCCGGGAGGCAGAGGCTGGCGGATCTCTGTGAGTCTTAGGACAGCCTGGTCTACAGAGTTGAGTTCCACTACAGCCAGGGCTACACAGTGAGACCATCTGAAAAAAAAAAAAATCAAAACAAACAGGGGAGCGGTGGGGGGCACTGAAGAGATGGCTCTGCGGTTAAGAGCACTGGCTGCTCTTGCAGAGGGCAGGAGTTCAATTCCCAGCACCCAGATGGCAGCTCACAACAGACTGTAATTCCAGTTCCAGGGGATGTGCCAGCCTCACACAGATGTATGTGCAGGCAAAACACCAATGTACATTAAATAAAATAAGTTTAAAAAGTAGTGTTTCTTGCTCTCCTAGATGACCGAAGTTTAATTCCCAGCGCACACATTGGGTAGCTCACAACTGCTTGTGAAGGGATCTGATGCCCTATGCAGCTCCTGTCAGGTATCTGCAGTCACTTGGCAAATACTGACACACATGTAGACATTAATAAAGATAATTTTTTTTTAAGTTAAACATACAGGGGCTGGAGAGATAGCTCAGTGGCTAAAAGCACTGGCTGCTCTTGCAGAGGATCAGTTCCCAGCACCCACACGGTGGTTCACAACCACCTGTAACTCCCATTCCAGGGTTCAGACGCCCTCTGTGGCTTCTGCGGGCTCTGCCACACACGGCACATAGACATGTATGCAGTCAAACACTCATACACACACAAAAAAAAAAAAATAAAGCAAAATAAATTCAAAGTCAAACATGGGAGTCAACATGTAAGCCAGCCATTTTACATTCAGGTATACCCCCCCTCTCGGAAAATTAAAACAGCCACACAAAAGCACGTGCACATGCCCAGAACAGACTCCTCAGTACAGCTGTCCACCGGCTGACACGGGACTATGTAAAAGGGACCAGTATTTGGCAATTTGAAGGGTAGTGAAGTACTGACGGAAATTCCAATGTGGGTGAACCGTGAAAGCATCGCGCTGAGGGAAAGAAGCCCCCTCCGACCCTTGCACACATAGGATTTGATCCTATTGCTATCCTGAAGAACAGATCAGAAAGCAGGAAAGGTACCTTCCCGGAGTTAGGAGGGTGGTTTATAAGGAAATGACTGAATGAGGGGAGGTCAAGATGAAAACAACCTTTCCTTTACCCTGTTCCTCCCACAGCTAGGAATCGCAGGGTAGGGACGTGCCAGGACGCAGGGTGCTGAGTGGAAGAAGCATGAAAGAAGGGAGGGAAGCAGACAAAAGGGTTTGCTCTCTGCTTCCAGGAAGGCGCGGATGGATGAGGTCGGGGATGGATGAAGTCGGGCGCGCAAAGCTGCAGGGGACTCCGGGATATCAAAGGGAGCGTGGGCCTGGTTACCAGGCGTAGCCCCAGGCGTCGCGGCACACCAGGGGGCAGCTGCTTGGCTGCGCGTGGGAAGGTGCGGAGTGGACGCAGGGTCTCCGGTGGCTGGGGAGGCCAGCGGGGTCCTCTGAGCTTGGTGGGTGGTTCTGACCTTGGAGAGAACCTGCTGGTCGCCACAGAATCTCATCACTGGCGTTTTGGAGTGCCTCTGGTGGGACGGGTGCTCCGACTCTATGAGCAAAGGGTCGCAGGCGGCCAGAATCTGGTCCCGACGGATATCAGGGAAGGAGATCTTGAATCGGTTCACCGCTCGCAGCAGGGTGACCCAGGGCATCCTGTCGGGTCGCACACTGCTAAAGATGGAGGACGAACCGACCGTGTCCTTAACCGAACTCCCCAGCTCGCTGTCGATGGAAGCCTTCCTTGTTCTAACTGGAGCCCTCCTGTCCTCGCCAACATTGCCCTTCCTGGACTTAGGAGACTTCTTCCTCCCGTCTTGGGCAAGATCCCACTGGGCCTCTTCTGAGTCTTTCCTCATCTGGGCAGAAAGTTTCCTAGTTTCCCCTGAGCCCTTCTTGCGCTCTGCAGAACCTCTGCTGGCAACCCCCAAGGCTTTCCGGGAGTCTGGTGGTGAGGCCATCTTGGAGCCTGCCCTGGGGGAACGGTGGCACCTCGTGCCCACGCCCGTGCCCTGAGCCCTTCCGGCCCACGCGCTGCACTGGGTTCCCCCATTTACCTGCCCCCTTCCTGAGTCGGGAGGCTTCCGGCAGGATTGCCCCTTTCCAGGAGAGAGAGAGAGAGAGAGAGAGAGAGAGAGAGAGAGAGAGAAAGAGAGAGAGAGAGAGCGCCAGGAGAGGAGCCCAACACAGAAACGATCTCTGGCATTTTGGGCACGTGAGGAAGGAGACTTCTGCGGTGCAAAACTAGAGGCCTCAGTCTTGTGCCCTCTGGATCCTGGCTCCCGTCACAGATCAGTGTCTGTCCTTTGCCTGGGGAGACGCTCACAGCCCACCCAGTTTGGGTCTGGTAGTTAGTTGACTGACAAGTGGTCCGTAAGTGAAGGCGTCTGTGCCAGCACTGTTAAAACGTGGTGGATCACTACGAAGTCCTGGGCGTCCTCACCGGAGGACTTTAAAGAGGCGTGGGGGAAACAGGCGCTTAAATGGCACCCAGACAAAAATCCTGAAAATACAGAAGCAGCAGAGCAGAAATTCGAACAAGTAGCCTAGGCGCATGAGGTGTTACCGGATACTAAGAAGCCAAAAGGCGGGACATCCTTGACAAGTGTGGCAGAGATTGGATGCTGGTGGTGGAGGAGGTGGGAGTCGTTTGACAGGCCCCTTGAGTATGGCTTCACACTCTGGAAGCCAGATGCTGTCTTCAGGGGATTTTCTGGAGGAAGAGACCCATTGTCATTTGGCTTCATTGAAGACCCACTGGATGACTTTTTTGGGAACGGAAGGGGTCCCGGAGGAACTAGAAGCCGAGGTACCGGCTCGTTTTTCTCTGCCTTCAGTGGATTTCCTGCTTCTGATAGAGGCTTCAGTTCCTTGGAGTCAGTAGGTCATGCGGGTCTTCATTCTCTTCAGCGTCATTTGGCGGCAGTGGAACGGGCAACTTCAAATCATTATCAACTTCAACTAAGATAGTTAATGGCAAAAAAAAAAAAAAAAAAAAAAAAAAAAAAAAAAAAAAAAAAAAAAACCACAGAGAGAATTGTGGAGAATGGTCAAGAAATACTGGAAGTTGAAGAAGACAGAGTCCTTGACAATGAACAGTAAGGAACACCTGCTACCTTTGGATAACAAGTAATTTAACTGAAATGTGTGACTGTAACAAGCACCAGTTGAGGAATAACAGGAACTTTTTTTTTTTTTTAAGATTTCAAACGAACTCAACTTTCTATGTAACTACCTAAAGTATTTATAAAACAGCTCAATCTATTTGTCATAGATATCTGAGTTTGTTGCTGGAACCATAAAATAGGTCCTTTTTCTTTCTTTCTTCTTGTGTGTGTGTGTGTGTGTGTTTGTATGTGTGTCTTTACAATTGTAGTGATCTCTGTACGCGCTTTGCTTTAAACACAACGTAATCTGAGGTGAGCAATGCTAGGGTAAAATTGTTTAACACCAGCATGGATCCACTGTGTTGAATGTGAGTAGTGTCAGCCTGCTGTGACATTAACATTGCCAGATGACCCTTCTACAGGAATATTTCAATTTTATTTTCAGTATTTAGTGACAAAAGCTATGACTGCATCAATGGTAATACACTTCTGGTTAAGTGTAAATTAAGGATGCTTTCTAGTTGTGCATGGATGCTGGTAATTTTCTCAGTCTGACAATTGTTTAAACATGCAATGTCAAGCTTAGGTTTAAAAAAGTTGGTAACTGGGGTCTTTTGTCATTTGCTTTTAAAAAAAAAAGAAAATGTGAATGTGTTTGGTGTATTCTTTCATGAAAAATAAATAAACAGATACATAGATAGATAAATAGAAATTATTTTATAGCAGGAATTTACATATAAATACAATCTGTACAATGTGTGGACATCCATGATGGAGGAGACGCCAGACTGAGACAGGCCAGGCCAGGGCTCCATTACTGCTTCCTTAGGGGGAGACACTTGAGTCTGTAGAAGAAAACAGGAGAGAGAGTGAGAGAAGGGAATGAGACACACTGAAAGGCAGATGGCCCCGCTGTGCCACGCCCCGAGCCCTTGGCCCAGGCTGGCCTCACAAGCAGCACGCCCTCCCACCATTCCCCAAGTGCTGGGGTTACAAGTGAACCCTCCTGGCCTCAGTCCTCATCTTCTAAGATCAGTGATAACCTTCTTTACATTATGTGTGTGTGTGTGTGTGTGTGTGTGTGTGTGTGTGTGTGTGTACACATGTGAGAAAGGGTGTTCTCAGAGTCCGAGGAGGGTGACATGCCCCTAGCACTGGAGTCAGAGGCAGCAATGAGCTGCCTGCTGTGGGTGCTGGGAACAAAGCGAGGGTCCTCTGTAAGAGCAGTACTGCTGGCCCATCTCTCCAGCTCCTTACTCTTTATTTGGAAAGGAAAGCTTGTTCACTTCGGGGCCTGAGGCGTTGGTCATTCTGAAATCTCAACTTCATAATACATTTAAGTAGGTGCTGGCCACAGTGGTGCACAATTGTAATCCCAGCACTCAGGAGGCTGAGACAGGAAGATCACAAGTTCCAGGCCAGGATGGGCTAGACATCAAGACCTTATCACAAAAAGACAGAAAAGAGGGAAGAGACAACTACAAAGGACATCATGGGCACTGGACTCAGAGTGGGGCTTCACGCGAAGAAGACAATCAAGAACAGAACAGGCAGCCCTCCATGTTTCATTTGCATAAAGGAACACTGCACAGCCAAGGACAACCAGCTACTGTTGCCTAGGTAACACCAAAGCATCTCCTAAGCCAGGCGCTGAGAGCTCATGTAAGATAATTCCATTAGGGCTTGGGGAGATAGCTCAGTGGTACAGCGTCAGCATGCACGCTAGCTGCAGAAAAAAGGGGGAAAAGCACACACGACTGAATTAAACATGATTTCTTTAAACAAAACTAAAATCTAACGGGAGCTGGGTGGGCCTGGCTGTGCACACTGATAATCCTAGTAATCAGAGGGCTGACGAAGGATTGCGAGCTCAAGGCCAGCCTGGGCAAAAGAAGAACGGTGGCAAGATGGCTCAGAAGGTGAGAACACTTCTTCCCAGGCCTGGTCACCTGAGCTTGCTCTCCAGAAGCCACACGAAGGGGCAGAGCGGTCCCACAGAAGTGCTCTCTGGTGGGACACTGTGGGAGGCCTTAGGTCATCAGGGGATGCTCCTTTGTTCTAAAGCAGACAGTGTGACCCCAGCCTCTTCCTCTTCGCTCTGCTCCACAAACCTACCATGGCGAATACCCTCATCCCAGGCCCAAATCAACACGGACATCTGAGCATGGACTGGACCCTCTAAACTGAGTCCAAGGGTGCCTTTTCTCCTAAGTTGCTTATCTTGGGTTAATTGAGCAATTAATTAATTAATTAATTATCTTGGGTTAGGGAAATTGAGCGTACAGGCGCACTTAGAGCTGAAGGCCTAAGCACCAACAGGGCTTACTGCACACACTTCCTGTCAGGTTCCATCCCTTGTTTCTGTCTGCTTAGCTTTTTGTCAGTTTGCTTGTTTTTTGAGATAAGAGCTCAAGTAGCTCAGGCTGACCTCAAACTTGCTATATGGGTCAAGAGGACTTTGAACTCCTGACCCTCCTGCCTTCACCTCTCAAGCGCTGGGACTTCAGGTGTGCACCACCAAACCCTTCATGTTTTACCTAAGTTTTCCCTGTGAGTCAGCACACGGCCACTGCCTGTGTTTTCTGCCTGCCCTGCCCTATCACACTCTCCTGATGGACACGGAGGGCTTCCATCTGTGTGACCCACCAAGCGGCAGCCCTGGTCCAGAGTGATGACACCAGAACTGTGGCTTACAACAGCAATCCTAGAATCTAGAGGAATCGCCATGGCTTTCAGGCCAGCCTGGGCTACCTGGTGGACTCCAGGTCAGCCCGGCTTAGAGGGAGACCTACCTCAAAATAAAGAAAGAGGACGACACCAGCTGTGAGCGGGGTTAGTAAGTGGGAGTATTGGTTAATTTTCACTGTTAACTTGACTGGATTTGCAATCACCTAGGGGATGCAGCCTTGGCCTTCTGTGAGGGTATTCCTAGAGTCATTTAACTGACAAGATTCACCCTGAATGGGGGTGGCCAAAGGGACAGCCTTCACTTCTGCGACCCGATCCACCCACGTGTGGTTACCAGGCGGCCAGCCTCGATGACTGGACCATCAGACTGTGAGCCGGAACAAGCCCTTCCTTCCTCAGTCTGCTGTCAGTCATTTTATCACAGCATAAGAAAGGTAACAGAAGCCGCATCTTTAATCCCAGCACTGGGGAGGCAGAGGCAGGCCTGAGTGTCTTTGCGTCTGTGTCTGTGTGTCTGAGGCCAGCCTGGTGCACAAAGTGAGTCTGGGACAGCCAGGGCTACACAGAGAAACCTTGTCTCAAAAAACAAAAAAACAACAAAAAAAGAAAAGCAACAGAAACTGCTACCAAGGAGTGGCGCTCCTGGCCACTGGGTTCACAGGTCTTGAGAACTGGTTTGTGGGAGGAATATGGAAAAGTTCAGGGCTGCAAGCTAGAGAAAACCGACAAGGCTGTAAGTAGAGCTTTGGAGACCATTCTGGTGGGTGCAGAAGCCCCGAATGCAAACAGAAAGGCAGGGACTGTGCTCCTAGGGGCCGCGCACGTTACAGTCTGAAAAAGGGGGCGGGGAGGGGCTGGAGAGGTGGCTCAGGAGTTAGGAGCGCGTGCTACTCTTGCAGGGGACGCAGGTTCAGGCTGCGGTGCTGGCACAGCAGCTCACAAACACCGTGACTCTAGCTCCAAGGGACCAGCGGCGCTCCGGGCCTCTGTGAGCGCTGCAAGCACATGCTACACGGATACACAGCAGGCAAACGCTCACGCGTGTAAGGTCCATCAATCTTAAGACGTATGTATTAGAAATGCACAGCAATGTGTATACCACGTATGCAAAATAAGTGCATGCATGTATGACTGCAGTGTATATGGTTGCATGTGTTTATATGACCGTTTACATGATTATGTGTGCATGTGTATCCATGCATACGATTACATGTGTGTACATGACTGACTGCATAGTTTATAAGATTGTGTATGATCACTTGTATGTATATAATTGTGTGCGCATGCGTGTGTGTGTGTGAGCGTGTGTGCATGTGGGGGGGTACAGAAGTCTTGAAAGCTAATAAAGAGACTGAGGGAGGAGGTCAGTGTAGAGAAGGAGGCTTTTCCTCTCTGCTTTTTGGAAACACGGTACTGCACCAAGTGCCTCACACTTGAGAGCCTCCTGCCTCAGTCTCCCAAGAGCGGGGCGACGGGAGAGCGCCACCTGCCCTAGCCAATGTCTCCTTTCTGAAGCTGCGCTCGAAGCAGAGGGACTGACTGTTGAACAAGCCAGCCCTCCCCCGGGGCCTACCGTCTCAGCAGCTCCTGGGGGGACAGGTCTGCCGCCCCCCCTTCATCGCTCCCGCTCTCGCTGCTGTCCGTGCTCTCAGAACTGCTGCTCTTTTCTGATTTCTTATTCTTTTGCTTACTTTTGTGTTTGTGCTTCTTGTGTTTCTTTTTCTAGGAAAAAAGAAAATAAAAATAAGAGTTAGAAAGGGAGGGAAACAAACAGGTGCTGAGCAGGGGCTGGGGAGGACCTCGGACGGTGAAGATCTTGCTGACCAGGCTCAAGGCGTATAAAACAGGAGTGGTGGCACAGGCCTTCTGCCCCACCCCAGCAGCAACAAGCTCTGGGTTTGCTGAGAGATCCTGTCACAAAAACAAGGTGAAGGGGCCAGGCGTAGAAGCATGTACCTTTGTTGTTGTTTTGTTTTTGTTTTTCGAGACAGGGTTTCTCTGTGTAGCCTACACTGTCCTGGAACTCACTCTGTAGACCAAGCCGGCCTCGAACTCGGAGATCCACCTGCCACCACCTCCCTAAGTGCTGGGATTACAGGCGTGTGCCAGCACACCTGGCAGTAGCATGTACCTTTAATTCCAGTACTGAGAAAACAGAGACAGGTGGACCTCTGTTAAGTTCAAGGCCAGGGGCTGGAGAGATGGCTCAGAGGTTAAGAGCACTTCCAGAGGTTAAGACCTCTTCCAGTAGGCCCTGAGTTCAATTCCCAGCCACCACACGGTGGCTCACAACCATCTATAGTGAGATCTGATGCCCTCTTCTGGCGTTCAGGTGTACATGTGGGCAAAACATTGTATACATAATAAAATAAATAAATCTTTTTAAAAAAAGGTCAAGGCCAGCCTGGTCTACAGAGTGAATTTTAGGATAGCCAGGCAGGGCTATACTGAAAGACCATGTCTCAAAAATACAAAAACAACAAACTTTAAAAACAAACAGAGGTGTAAAATGACTGAGAACAATGCTTGATATTGATCTCCGGCCTCCATATACACATCAAGCAAAATACATACACAGCTAACCCAGGAGTAGGGGGCATAACTTATCAGTAGAGCACCTGCCTAGACTTCCCCAGTGAGGAGTTGGGAGTGTGGCTCAGTGGTAGAGCCCCTGCCTAGAATCCCCCAGTGAGGGG